TCTGAGTTGTCTGAAAATCCATTGCCTGTGTTCTCAATGTTATTAACCAGACTCAGAAGGAGAACCTCAGAAAATACTATAAGGGCAAGAAGTGAAAACCCCTGGATATGCGGCCCAAGAAAACACGTGCCATATGCCAAAGGCCCACCAAGCGTGAGGAGAACCTGAAAACCAAGAAGAAGCAGCGAAAAGAGCACCTGTACCCACTGAGGAAATACGCAGTCAAGGCCTGAACTTCTTAAATAAATCAAGCACAAAACTAAAAAAAAAAAAAAAGAAAGAAAGAAACGGGCAGGCTGTTTCTTTATCATCCATCCACATGGAAAAGCAAATATCTAGAAGAATGAGGCGATTTTGAAAGAGCAAACGTTGGAGGGCTCTGAGATTCCTGCTTGCTGTAAAGCGATGGTAGGCAGTGTAGGCAGGCGTTGCACTGTCGCTGACACGAGAGCCCCGTTGGCTTTCCCAGGTTGTGAAGTGCGGGTCAGGAGATTGCTCTTCTAACTCTAGCAGAGTGACTGGTAAATCTGAACTGCCAGGGAGGTGGGGCATTTGAGTTAGCAACACAACTCCCAGTGGACTAGCCTAGACTATGGCATATGCATGGAATGGAGTCGAGATCAGAGAATTAGTTCTACACATAAGTTGTTTGTGCGCTTTGACAAAAGGACAAAAAATATTTCAGTCTTTTGAACAAGTAATTCTGAAACCATTGCATCTTATTGTTGTGTACCATCGAGTGGGAACTGATCCATAGCAGACCCTCCAGCAGGTTTTCAGAGACAGTTAATCACATGGGAGGAGATTGCCTGTCTTTCTCCTCTGTAGCAACTGCTGGCTTGAACTGTGAGCCTTCAAGTTGCCGTGCAGCTAATGATCAGTAGGCTACCAGAGCTCCCTATAAGAATGGACTTTTGGACTGGGAATAAACATGTGGCAATACCATTTCAGACAAGGGTCTCATAACAAAAGTTTACAGAATACTCCTGAGCCTCCAGAAGAAAAAAAGACTGATAACCCAATTAAAAAATGGTCAAAAGATATGGGAAAACTTTTCACAGAGAAAGACATTCAAGTGGCCAACAGACACATGAAGAAATCCTCAAAATCACTGTCTATAAGAGAGATGCAAATCAAAACCACAATGAGGTACCATCTCACTCCAGTAGCAGTGGCAAAGGTTAGTATGACAGTGAGCAATAAATATTGTAGAAGATGTGGAGAGATAGAAGTCTTATGCACTGTTGGTGGGATTGTAAAATGGTGCAACCCCTTTGGAAGACAGTTTAGCATTTCCTAAAAAAGTTGAACTCCATGTGACCCAGCTATTCCATTACTCGGAACATGTTGTTGTTGTATGTGCTGTTGAGTCACTTGACTAGGAACATACCCCAAGGAGATCAGAACTGAGACACAGCGGAGATTTGTACACTAATGTTCATAGCAGTGTTATGGACCATCGCAAGAACTTGGAAACAACCCAAATGTCCTACCACAGCCAAGTGGATTATTATGGTACATTCACACAATGGAATACACTCAGTCGCAACAATTTTGAAAAATATAACTTGGGAGAGGCTGGAGAGCATTATGCTGAGTGAACGAATGCAGTCTCATAAGGCCAAATACGGCATAAAGCTAGTATTGTAAACATAGAAGGATAACTAGTTAAACATGTACAGGAACTCAAGGTGGAGAATGGGAGTGGTGAGGGTGAGTAGGGGTGAAGCCACAGAGCTGCAGTTGGGTGGGTAGAGGGAGAATGGGAAGCAAATGGGAAGGATCTGGGTGAAAAGATGGATCAAGTCCAATGGTGATTAATTTTATAAAACGTAATGCATGAGAATGTTTGTATGAAACACAATGTGAATAAAAAATAGTGTGAAACACAATGTATATAAACTTTGTAAGCAAACTAATAAAAAAAAAAAGCAGACAGAAATACAACACAGCTTGGGGGGGGGGGGAAGAAGGGACATTTGACCCCTACAGAAATGACATAAAGATCTTTCACATTCTTAACTTAAACTCTAAAATTGTAAAAATTCCAGAATAAAATAGATTTTTTTTACATTGAAAGTGTGAATCCCTCAAAATACAACCTGATAATTTGAAACAGTTATAAATAGAAAATTGATATACTAGTAACAACAGCTCTTGCAGAGCTAATCTTAAGAGAGTGAGAGTCGTGCCTCTCTCAGGGCCACTGCCGTCCTTTGGGTCTTACTCAGGAGCTCGAGGCCCCTCCAGCCTCGGCGAAAGCGTGTGTCAAACACCTAACTAAAAATGGCCTTTATCCATATTATAAATAACTCCTAGAACACAGTACAAACAATTTCATTTCAAAGTGATCAAAAATTTGAACACACATTTCATGAAAAACTACAAACTCATAACAACAGGATTCCCAGCCTCATCCACTAGGAGGAAAACTCCAGCTTCCAGCACGGATCCTGAGCGCTTGGGACAGAGGGAACTCGCGTGCACTGTTGGTGGGAGCGGGAATGGTAAAGCCATTTGCAAGACAGTCTGGGAGTTTCTCACAGAGATACATGAACACCTAGCCTGTCCCTCGCCGTTCTGCCCTCCGAGCGAGTCAGGAGAGTACAAGGCGTGTGTGTGCACACGCTTGTCTGCTGAGATCCACAGCAGCTTTATCAGGAAGAGTAAAGCTGGAGCAGCTCTGAACCTGCTAGTTCAGGAACTGCCCAAGACCCTTGGACTCCATGTGAGGACTACGCAGGCTGCCGAAGGAACGATGATATTTTGGGAAGGGTGCAGCCAGAATGCTCCTTGGAGGCAAGGATGACATGGCTTCACCTCAGTGCTTGGGGCATGTTTCTAAGAGAGGCTGTTTGTTGGAGAGGAGCATCATGCTTGGATAGGTGGAAGGCGAGTAAAAGAGAGGAAGACCTGTGCTGAGATGAACTAACAGAATGTCTTCAGAATGGGCTTGTGTGAGTCAGGGTTTGTGAGTCAGGCCAGGGTTCAGAGCTGTTAGTCACAGGGTCGCTGTGCTTTATACTTAGTTCAGTGGCACCCAACAACAACTGAGCTATAAAAGCTGGGTATCATGCTTGTGACAGCTGAGTAGGTCACAGAACATGGTATGCTGAGTGAAAGAGGTCAGACAAACGACTTCATGCTACGTGCTTCCACTTGTATAACATTCTACAAAATGCTTGCTAGTGTGTGTGTGTTTATAGTGACATGGTGCAGTCAGGTTTGCTTGAGAATGGAGTGAGCAGCAAAGAGAGGACTTGGGGAACCCAGTGAGTGTGATGAATCTTAATCCTTATTAGATTGTGCTGATTTTGCAATTGTGGTTTCATAGCTTAAGATTTTCAAATTGTACACTTCTCCTTTGTAAGGTTTGCCTCAATCCTGATGTTATTTTTCAACCCTACCATAGATCTTCAGATCGTAATTTATGTTTTTATCCAAACAAGTGCTTCACTTTGTGCCTTTGTTGGCCTGTGAAGCCCCTTTGGACCCAGTACACAGTGGAATTTCTGAACTTTGAAATGGACGGACAGTGAAGCCCTATCTGGCTCAGGCGAGCCCTGGAGGGTTTGCTGACCTACCTGTCCCAGTGCCCACAGGTCACCATCATATGTGATATTCCCATGTCTACTTCAGAGAGATTGACCTCAGGTAATTGGCAATGTTAGATAGGTCATTCCTCGAATAAAAGCAAAACAGACCCTCATTGTGGATGTGGTTTGTGGTGTGAGACCGGTCAGTCGGCTAAGCTGTGTGTTACGGTCTGCATTCCGTGGGCAGAAGAGGAGGGACATGAGTCGAGGCTGACGCCAGTGAGCACTCGGTTGGGGTACACTGGGTGGATGGCTCCAGGGGCAACACCCCTTCCAACTCTGGAGTCCCACTTCTCGGCTTTGTGTATGGGATCCTCTAACAGGAGTGAGCAAATTGGAACTACTTCGGGGTGACCTGTTCAGTGATATCTTTATGCCATGTTGACTGCGCAGAATCATTCAGTATTTGATGTCTGCTCTTGTGTTTGTTGTCGTAAGGTGACGAGGTTTTTACTAGCACCATTTATGGGCTGCATTTATCTCAGGGAGACGGACTTGCTGTGGCCCCTAATCAACGCCTCTGGGCCCTGGGGAGTCCTTTCTGTGGTTCTGAGCTCCTTTTGCTTGGAGGCTCACAGTTACCTGGCATCTTGGGGCCTGTCCCTCGATGTCATCCAGGGCTCTAACATTTAGCTAATGAACCCCTGGAGCTGGCTCCTCACCCAAGTCCCTCAGTGCATCTGGCCAGCTGCACATGTGCCTGTGAGGTGACATACCCTGACACTGACATGTAGAAGGGGCAGTCCTGTCACAGAACATACACAGAGTGAGCTGTGCTCCAGTGGGAAGAGAGCCTGTTGAAAGGAATCATCTGTTCGTTTTTTGTGGAGGGAAAGGTGGCTTTCTCCACTGCTGTGCTGTCTAGAAAATTAGGATGTGAGCCACACATGAAATTTTGCATGTCTTAGTAGCCTAACTTCAAAAAGGACAAAGACGTACATGAAGACCTTAACAATTCAGTAAATTTAACCACAATACAGCCTTATTATCATGTACCCATGTGTGTATGTTATATACAGTATCATATGCCAGTGTAATCTACCCAGCTTCTGTTACAAAGTAGAAAAGACAATCAGTTGTTTGAGCTCTGTGAAGAACGTTCAGATGCCGTAAATCAGTTTAGTTCATCAACTGTTGGGTGGTAGCTGTGGTGAATAGCAGTAAGAAGCTGCACTACCAGCCCGAAGACATGTGCTTGCGCCCCAGCACCTGCTCTGAGGGAGAAGGACGGACAGTCTCCGAGCGTGAGGTGTACAGCCTCTGAAAACTCGCCGGAGGCTCAGGTGTGAGTCAGTTCTGACGCCATCGGGGAGTGAACGATTGTGGGCGTTCTCCAGTGGTCAGCACAGCTGAACCCTCGGTTCAGGGTGTGCGTTACTCATGCACAGTGTCTCTGTGTTGCAGGAGAAAAGCCTTTCAAGTGTGAGGAGTGTAACTTCGCGTCCACCACGCAGTCTCACCTGACTCGACATAAGCGCGTGCACACTGGAGAGAAGCCCTACAGCTGCCCGTGGTGCGACTACAGGTAACGGTGCCCGCTGCCAGCCAGTCTCCTTCTGCGCCCTGACCGGGCACTGCCCCACCGTAGCACGGCCCAGAGGGTTCCTATGGTGGGAATTGCCACAGAAGCAGCCGCCTCATCTTTCTCCCACTGGGGTCCAGACCTTTTGGTCAGCAGCCATTGTTTGTCTGCCGCACCCCCAGGCTCTTCCTAGCCTGCCAAACATCAGCTACCCGCTGCAGCAAATGCATGCCACGGCCCGAGTCTGTTCCCACTCAGCCGCCTTCTGCCCACTTTCCATTTCTGTAAATCTACACGAGGACCTGTTCGTCATTGTCTCACAGAGCGGCTGCTGCGTCTGAAATGCTGGCCTTTCTGTTGGTAGCTTGCACTTTAGCCACTGCACCACTAAGGCTCCTTTTAGTGACTTGGAAGTGTGGTTAAAAGTCTTGCCTGGGTTTGTGTACCCTGCGAAGGTCAGAGGGGCGTGCTCCTCCACTACTCAAGGAGACCCCAGTGCTGTGCGCAGTATATGCCGAGACCACGTCCCGGCGGGGAGTGAGGCCACCAAGTGACAGCCCGGGGCAGCCAGGGCCGCTGCGTGTTTGCGTGTGTCCTCTCTTGTTCCAGGTACTGTGGTGAGAATGTGTGCCCAAGACCCTAAGTGCTCCTGCAGGCACACCTGGTGCAGTTGGGTCCTGCACGGTCGAACAGCAGACATCTCCCCATCATCTCAGCTTTTAGCCGCAGTGTTCCGTTGAGTTTTATGTTAAAGGTCATTTAGTAACCCAGAGATGTTACAGTTGTATTTCACTCATTAATCCAACATTTTGTGAGTTCTCTCTGCTTATTGCTAGATAGATGTTTCTGGGGAATTTGAGGAAACAGATTAGAGGTGGACTCGGGAATGCTACAGCACTGCTAATAAGTCTTCAAAAAGAAACGTTATTGACATTAACATTTACTTTATTAAAGAGCGCACTGGACTTGCCTTTCCTGTAAACTGCAGAAAGTGACAGAGAGCCCTCACCATCACTCCCCTTTGCCCAGCCCTGTGTCCCATCATCCTGCAGCCGTGTCCGAGGGGGTCTGTGTCCCATCATCCTGCAGCCGTGTCCGAGGGGGTCTGCGCTTTGTGTCAGGGAACTTATGTTCTTTTCAGTGTACACTTTGTTTTTCACAAAAACAAAAGTTGAAAGTTGAAAAAAGGTCTTGAGTGGCACAAAGCATTAAGCCGTTCATTGTTCCCTGAAAGGTTATTGGTTGAACCTCCCAGAGGAGCATGGGAACCAGGCTATGGCATCATGGCCACAGAACACAGAGCAGGCAGGACTCCTCTGCATCCCAGGACTGCCCTGCTGGGGCCCACTGTGGACACCAGCAGCACACTGGACGCCTGCCTGTTGACTTCGTCACTGTTCTCTGAACAGTGCATTTCAGGCTTCTCCTTTTAAGTAGCAGAGCTGTAATCTCAGACATGATCTCACCCCATGGATAAAGCAGACTAAAAGGGTAGCCCTATAATAGGGAGCCCTAGTTATACAGCAATAAGTGCTCCACTGCCAACCCAAAGCTTAGCGTTTCAAATCCCCAGCAGCTCTAAGGGGCACAGGCCTGGAGATCTTCAGGTAAATGGAGCAGCCAAGACACCCCAAGACAGTCTCCTCTGTCACTTGAGGTTGATGTAAGACTGCATAGCTGCAGGGACACCTCAGAACGCCGCCTCTCACACACAGACTTCTTCATTGTAACGCCTCCCTGTGACACTTGCCAGTAATGTCGTCAGGCACTCGTGCCAGCTGACAGTTGTTGGTGGGGCCGCAGTGGGGTTTGACACTTGGTGCTGAGCAAGACTTGGCACCACGCGCATTTCTTCCCTTTACTGTGAGCAAGAAGCGTGGAAGGAGAGTTAAGGACACGGGTCACCTAGTGGGCTGCGCGTCCCTCTACAGAAGGGACAGGCGCTGCACGTCCACTGACTGCTCAGGGAGGGAGGTGGACAGTCTTCTCCCATGTGCTTTGCAGCCTAAGAAAACTGTGAGTGTGTTCTGACTCGAGTGAACAAAACAAGGACACGGATGCTCAACCCGTGGTCACTGTGTCTGTGGCCTTTGCCTAATTAATATACTTGCTAATTAGTGGACATACTTTCAAGGTGAGAAACATCATGGTTACCCCACCAGCCACCACCTCACTTCACACCATTAGATTATCCCTTGAGTGAGACCTCACATTATGGTAACCCCACAGAGAGCCCCTCACTTCACCCATGGTTACCTCACCGGCGGGCCTCACTTCCCATCGTGGTCACTTTGTGAGTGGGTCCTCAAGTCACATCACGGTTACCAGGTGGGACCTCACGTCACATGGTCGTTACCCTGTGGGCAGGACCTCATGTCATATCATGGTTATGTTACCCCCACGCCTGGCCCCTTACTTCATATCATGGTTACCCCATAGGTGGGACTTCACATCACGGTGGCCCCATGGACAACATCTTGCATCACATTGCTGCAGTACCTCACATCCATTGTGGTCACCCCATGGGGGGACCTCTCTTCCATTGCAGTCACCCGTGGTGCCATCACTCTTGTTCCTACCCCATTTTCCTTATTTGGATTCTCAGGGCCTTGCTGAGGGGATTACCTGGTGGTCTTCATTGTGTTCTCTGCTAGTTAAAAGATGCACCCAGATCTGTATTGTGCTACTTCCTAACTTTTGAATTAGTTAAAGTATGAAACGCATTTCTAGTTGTTGACTAACACAGGAGATATCTGAGCTTCTGAGAGCAGTCTTTGGCTGTGTCCTGTAGGTAGTGCTGGCCCGGCTCAGAAGACGTTGGTGCTGTCAGAGTTCATAGTTTTTAGTGGACCACTTTTAGAGTTTTACTCCTGAAAAGTTTGTACCTAAATCTTAATACATACCCATCTGTTTTTCTTTTTTAAATTTGGTTTAAAGTTGATTTTATAAAAAAGAAAAAAAATAATTCTTTAACTACTGCTTTAAGTTTGGGGTTTTTAAACTTTGTGTGATTGGAGTGGAAGTTTATAGAACACTCACCTCCCGAGGCATTTTGGTTTAGGATATTGATTACAGTCCCCACATGGTGTCATTGCTCTCCCACTGTCTGGCTGAAGGCTCCACTGGTATTTCTGCAAGAGTCCTGATTTGCCTTTTATCTCTGAGCAGTTCTGTGCCCTGACGGTCACCCAGTCTTTGTCTGTATAGTAATATATTTCCAGGGTTTTCCGATTTCATTGGCTTGAAAGCATATTATCCTCTTTGCTAAGGTTGAGGGTAAAACTTGTTCCTATTCAGCTTGTCTCCCTGAAATAGCATCCTTTTCATTTAGGGACATCCAAGCCAGCTGGATACCGTCCACAGTGTAGCTGTGCCAGACCCTATGCTCACAGGAGGAGAGGGCGTCTAAGTATATCGTCACTGTCCTCTGAGTCCACATGCAGGGCACCCGACCGGGCTGTGGGCGCCTGAGTTTCTTTTAGTGTTGCTTAAAGTCTTTGATAGAAACATGAATTTATTAAGCCTCTCAAAGTGTTTGATTATTATACAGAGTCAACATGTTGGTTATTTCTGTTTGTAAGATGGATTTCTCTGTCATTCTGTGTACATGTGTTTAGGTTTGCTTTTGCCAGTGAATAAAAGGCAAGTTAACTTTGACATGGGTTAAAAAAAAATGTAAATATAGTGCATTACCTTGAGAATCAAGACCATGACTATCATATGCAAATTGTTATATATATATATATAT